CCCCGGTAGCCAGCGGCCTGACTGGGTCAGGGGCCTTCAGCCTGCCCAGGACCCAGCCTGGGTGCCGGCGACCTCCTCCCCACCGGGCTTGACTGCACCTCTGTCCTCAGCACCTGGGCACGGGCGGGCAACCTTCACGCCCATCACAGCCCTCAGACCATCCCGTGCTGGGGCCATGTACCTGGCCCCCTACACAGGCTGAGCCCTGCTCCCAGCCTCCACCCCGCACAGATTGGTCTCTTCTTGGGCCAAACCTGGAGCTCAGGGTGGGCAGGCGGTCTCCATCCTGGACCAAGCGCCGGCACACTGCCTGCGGCCTTGGTCCAATGTGGGGCCAGCTGGCTTCTCCACCCCCAGCCCCGGCCAGTGCACCTCGGCCTCAGGGGCTGGCTCAGGGCAGCACGCTTCTCAGCTCGGGGCTGGGGCGCATGCGGCCAGGGAACTGACTGCGGGCACATGGGGGATGGCTGGCCCAGCTGTTGGGTGTCGGGGGGAGGGGGAGCGTGGGCAGGCAGTACGTTGGGAACGCCAAGTACAGCAGCTAAACAGGCCTCTCCCCGCCCCAGCTCAGGCAGAGTGGACAGGCCAAGGGGGCTCCCTGGGAACGGAAGGGACCCTGGGTGGGGTGATCAAAACCCCAGCCACCCTGTGTTTAAGGCCCTGCAATTAGCCTGCCCTGTCATTGGCCCGGCCACAGCAAGGCCCCGGGACCTCACCCAGCCACACAGGGTGTGTGCATGTGTCTAGCAACCCCCCTCCTGCCAGCCCGCGGCTTGGGGTGCACCAGGAGGGGAATTACAGGGCATGGGCCTGGCACCAAGGGTGCTGAGAAAGTGTCCTCACCCCCTGTGTCGCCCTCTGCACAATGTTGCCCGCTGTGTGGTGTGGGGGTCCCATCTGCATGAGCGAGACTGCGTGGAGGGTGCGTGGCCACGCCTGTGTGCGCCTGTGTCCTGTGTCCAGCCCTACGGACGCGCTGCAGGGCTGAGATTTCTCAGAGTTAAAGGGACCGACCCAGTGACCCAAAGAAGGAGGTTGGCACACACCCGACCCACAGACAGGAACGCGCGGGAGGGCTCTCCCTGGCCAGGGACTCCCACCTGCCTTGCACGCAGACACACGCAGACGCACACAGATGGGGTGGGCACACGTGGAGTCCGGGAGACACTCCACTCATGCCCCGGAAGGCAGGCCACGAAACCATAGCGCCCCGCAGGCAGCTGAGATGAAAGCTCGGGTTCCCAAACGGGATTCTAAATGCGCCGGCACCTCCGCCCAGCAGCCGCAGGCCGCCCAGGGCCCCCGGGGACGGTGGGAGACCACAGCCCAAAGCAGGACATTCTGAGCAGGGCGAGCCCCCGTCAGTGCCGGGGTCCACCCAGGGCGTCTGGCAGTGGGTGTCCGACACCCTCCCCGACCCCACCCAGCCAGGAACCAGCCGGGGGGCCCCCTGTGGATCCAGGCACGTTTAATGGTGAGCCCAGTGAGCGGGGAGGGAGGTCTGGCGGGGGCAGGGAGTTAGGGGACCAGGGACCATCAAGGGTGGGGTGCGGCCTTGGGGTCCACAAGGGGGATCTTGTATGCGAAGGAACCGCTGAGCTAAAGCC